TCGTTCCTTGGCATGCTCACGTTCTACGCACGTTTCCTGCCCAACATGTCGACTGTGCTCAGCCCCTTGTATCAGCTCATGGAAAAACGAGCCCGTTGGGAATGGCGGGAACCGCAGCAGTCAGCGTTCGAGAAAGCGAAAGAAATGTTGAAGAATGCGCAGCTTCTCGTTCATTTTGATCCCAACAGGGAACTGAAGCTAGAATGTGATGCTTCCCCGTATGGCGTGGGTGCTGTTCTGTTTCACTCGGCGGGAAATGAGCACAGACCAATCGGTTTTCGCTCCAGAACGTTAACAAAAGCGGAGCGAAACTACTCTCAGCTGGAGCGAGAGGTCTTGGCACTAATTTTTGGCGTTTCTCGTTTTCGTGACTTCCTCCTAGGTCGGCAATTCACCCTGGTAACCGACCATTAGCCACTACTGGGACTGCTCAAGCCTGACCGCCAAACGTCGCCGATGGCCGCCGCGCGCATTCAACGGTGGGCACTGTTCCTAGGAGGCTACCAGTACAAGCTACAGTACGTTCCGGGGAAACAACTAATGACAGCAGATGCCCTCAGCAGATTACCAGCCCCGGCAGCAGCGGAACCAGTAGCCGAAGGGGAGCCTCCCGAGTACGTCTTGTCGTTGGAGGCCCTGGACGAAGGTATAGTGACGACGCACGAGTTGCAGGAGCTCACTGCCAAGGACTCGTTGTTAGCCCGTGTCGCGGAATACATCATGCATGGCTGGCCTCGAACAACAAGTGGAATGGTGCCCGACTTGCTGCCTTTTTTTTGATCGCAAAATGGAGCTGTCGATGGCTCACCGGCTAATTGGGGCAACAGAGTCGTCATACCACGGAAGGCGCAGGAAAGGATGTTGCAGCTGCTACATGAAACACACCAAGGCTCCTCGTCAATGAAAGCGGTGGCACGGTCACTGTGTTGGTGGCCAGGAATGGACAGGGAGATTCAGGAATTGTCGGCGCAGTGTGTAAGCTGTGTAGAAAACCTGCCCATGCCTGCGGCAGCACCACCGGTGAGTTGGCCGAAAACGGCCGAGAGGTGTTTCCGGATCCACATCGATTTTGCGGGCCCATTAGCCGGCAAGATGATACTTGTGGTGGTACATGCTCACACGAAGTGGATTGAAGCATTACCTATGATGCATGCGAACACAGCGGGTACTATTCGCTGCTTACGAAGTCTGTTTTGTCTGTTCGGAGTGCCACGCACAATCGTGTCCGATAATGGCACGCAATTTACGAGCCAGGAGTTCGCCATGTTTGAGCAAGAAACAATATTGTGCACTTGTGTACAGCGCCTTTCTATCCTCAGTCGAATAGAGCAGCGGAAAGAGCAGTGTGAACCCTTAAGGATGGCTTGCGGAAAATGCAAGATGGCCCACTAGAAGATAACATCATGCGTCTGCTATTCCATTACAGGAGGACCCCGCAAAAAGAAGGAAAGTCACCCTCGGAGATGCTTCTCGGTTACCAGCTGCGGTCCCATCTTGACACCTGCCTGCCGCTCAGGGATGAGAACTGGTCGCCGGATGCTGACAATTGGACCATCTTGCCAGGAAGCAGCGTCTACGTGCGCAACTACGGTGCCGGCAAAAGATGGACGCCTGGACGCGTTAAAGCTGCGTCGGGGGCGAGAATGATAGCAGTGGACACACCAAGAGGGTTAGTGCGGCGTCATATCGACCAAGTCCGCCGCCGCCGCGAATCGACGCCGGAGTCTGCAACTGCGGGGACGGCTGAAGGCGCGGACGCTGAAGCTGAACCTGCCAGCGTGACTACTCCTGTCCCGTCTCCTGCATTGCACTGCACGTTCAGGCGGAATGAGCAAGAGCGAAGCCCAGAGCTACCGGCCGCGGATGGTCGGAGCGAGTTTTCCCCACCAGCTCCTACAGAACTTCCAGTCGCTACGGACGAACACTCGTCTGAGGTGGTCCCGCATCAGCCAACGCTGAGGCGATCGACAAGAGTTAGGAACCCGGTACAACGGTTCCACTTTTAGGAGGAAAGAAATGTTGTATTTGTTTCGTTTGCAACGCCAGCAAAACCAGCTGCGCGCGCACCATTTCGTTTGGGCCCTGTGCGCCTTCATTCTCCCTTTTCCCCCCTCCCTTCACCCTCTCCTAATGCCAATGTATATAACCACGCTGCGGACAATAAACGCGGTCGTTGACTGCCCGACCATCGTCCTTGCTGCTTAGCTGCGCGCGCCTGTGTTACCACAGTTCTTGAATTTTTGACCTTGCGATCTTAGGCCAGTTAATGCCCTAGATGAGCCTCCTTCTCTATGCGTTTATTCTTTCCTAACTACTTGTCTCGCTCAAATTTGGCATTGTTGGTTTCAAAGTGTCCACAATGTTGAAGCTTTGCCAATTTCGAGGGGTAGCACTGTACTTTGGCGTTTCCTGTCAACTGACGCGTTTAGCACACCTCTTTCGTGAAATAATCGGCTACTTCTATACGATTGTTACGTTGAGCGTGTATGTAGACAGAAACTGCGTTTAAGGCTGTATCCTATTTTGTTGGCATTTTGTAGTTGTAATTAAAATGCCAGTAAATAGATGTAGAAGTGCACAGTGGCCCTCAGTCGGGAGTCAGATATACGTACTAGTAATTGCATCTACAGTTAACCTAATGACGTTGAACAGTGGATGAAAGGTAAGGAGCCAATCATTTCTAGTTTTAGAAAGCAGTGAAACGCAAGAAATTTCGTGCGAAAGTAGCGACGCATTTGCATCACGCACCACAAAGCGTCAGCTTGAATTGCTAGACCCGGACAACTCTCGGCACCACACTCGTACACAACAATAAATCCACGTGACACAAGCAGCACGTAAGCGCTCTTAGGTATTGTCTTATGTTCGGGCCATGCAACTGGTGCTAGTGGATGCCTATGCTTTTGGATAAATATTTTTAATTTGCGTGCTTATTTAGACAGTGTACAATTAGCATATTAGGTGCTGCAAACGTTAATACAAAAAATATGTTATGTCTACTTAGCCTATTACCGCCTTGTTAAAGAGGTACATTGTAAAATGTTAGGAACAGAATGCACAAAAACCGTTGCAACCTTTAAGTGTCTGCAAACTTACGTAGTAAAAAGGTCATAAAAGATATAAGTGCCCAAGAAAGTTAGTAACAGCCTCTTTTACTATATCTATGGGTTTGGTTACAAGCTTCTACTAAATGTTTATAAAGTGCACTCTTCACTGTCCGGGAATTCTATGTACGATGGACAACGCTCGTCTGCTTATACGCCGACACCTCCTAAAGCAGCACCCAGACCAGAGCGTGGCAAATGAATCGTTCCCTCCCCGTGTTCGTGGCCGTGGCTTGCCTCGTAGTTCCCAAGCGCTGTTGTACAAACTAAGAGTGGGCTGTGTGCTGGCGTGTGAACAGTCTGTTGTGCGCAGCTTGTGGCTCTTGCGAAACACTTAAGCATCTTGTAGTGCACTGTCCTACATTTGCTACGCAGTGGTCTTTGCTGATTAAGGAATATAAATTCCTAGGACTTAAGCGCATGACCCTAGACGACCACCTCTTTCTGAGTGGTAGTGCTTCCCGACGCGACCAGGCCCACCGAGCTCTCCTTACATTTATGAACCAAACGGACCTGGCCACCCGTTCATAGACGGTCTTTTTTATTATTTTTTATGTTTTTTACTCATTTTCGTCGAAGTCCTCGTCACTTTTAAAATTTTTTTTCTTCATCATCTTTCCTCTTTCTCCCCTCTAATCTTTTTTTTCCTGTGTTTCTTCCTTCCTCCCAAAAGAGTGAGCAGGCATTGTGCCCCTCCAGGTGGTAGATGCCAGCTTGCTCTTTCTCTCTTTCCTCTGTGTCCTTGTGTATGCAAGTCAAATAATAATAATAATAATAATAATAATAATAATAATAATAATAATAATAAGGTAGAGTGATTTGGCCGTGAAAAGACATGGATTTGTTAGAATGCAATTTCAAGCTTAACAAACTCCTCGAAATGCAAAAGTGTGGGCCGCATCAGTTCACAACAAAGCACCAGTTCAAATTTCACGCATCCGGCTACATAAACACCTTGATGTAAATTCAAGCTTTGCAAGCATTACGCAAGACAAAGCAAATCCACAGTCGCCATCAGCCACCATCGTTCGAAAAAAAAAAAAAAGCGACAGAATTCCAATAAATAAGGGTGTAAGGCAAGGAGACACGATGTCTCGAATGCTATGCGCCGCGTGTTTACAGAGGTTTTTAGGACCCTAGACTGGAAAGAGTTAGAAATAAGAGTTAATGAAGAGTATCTTAGTGACGTGTATCTTAGTGATCTTGCTGGTACTTACCTACAGAGCAGAAACCTGGAGGCTTACAAAGAGGGTTCAGCTTAAATTGAGGATGAGGCAGCTGTGATGGAAAGGAAAATTATAGGTGCAGTAACCTTAAGAGACAAGAAGAGGGGAGAGTGGGTCAGGGAACAAACAGGGGTTAAGGATATCATAGTTGTAATCAGGAAGAAGAAATGGACATGGGCCGCGCACATAGGCTGGATAACCACTGGTCATTAAGGGTAACTGACTGGATTCTCAGAGAAAGCAAACACACGAAAGAGAGATAGAAAGTTAAGTGGGCCGATAAGATTAAAACGTTTGCAGGTATAACGTGGCAACGGAAAGCACAAGACCAGGTCGATTGGCAGATCATGGGAGAGGCATTTGCCCTGCAGTGGGTGTAGTCATGCTGATGATGATACTTAGCACACAGGGTAAGTGCAACTTCTTCAAGCACAGAAGTAGGCTTTGCTTTGAATTTCAATGCGCCATCTGGCACATCTTTAAAGAAGATGAAAAGGGCACATCTTCAAAGATGATGCTTGGTCGCTCTACCTCCAGGTGTCACTGCAAAAACATGTTCACCGTAAATGAGCACTGTGCCGGAAAGTGACCATTCACACCCAATGTATTTTAGCATGCTTCAGTGGAATGCAATATACGGGTACTAGTACAAAAGACCAGAGGCAAGATCTCAAGCATGAGACTGTACTTTATTACTTCAACATTTCAAATGCAGTGGTGAATGCAGCAATGACTACACAAGGAACAGCTGCAAATTCTGCCTGATGCGATCGAGCTGATCAGCAAGTGTGGGCAGTTCGGTTTCCTCTGTGTTTACACTAGCTTCTGCACTGGCTTGCTCCAAGCTCAACCTGTTGAGGTGGGAACAAAAAGAAGGTTGGCAAAGAATACAGAAATCCACAACGTATTTTAAACAACTCATTTGTGGCCAGTATAGTGAGGACAAGGCACAACACAACAGCAGCAAACACAGTCTTTGGTGAAGAATGGTAAACTGCAAGGACAACATGTTACCGCAAAGACACTCATTTCTCTTGATGATTTCATCCTATAAACTACAAACAGGTGACTGTCAATTTGACTTTCTTTATGCCCTATATTTAAAACAACTATTTCCCTAACCATAATAAATATAGGCAACTAGCTTGGTTTAATAACCAAACACTTCACCATTTCAATCAAAAGTAAGCTTTCCTTCATAGAATTCTTTTCTGCTTCCAACACTTTCAGAGAATGCAAGAGGATGATGACAGTATACACAAATGAATGCTCTTTGCTAAACTACTCGCAGAATACTGTTTATGTTTTCATCCAGGAAATGATCTCTTCGTAGTATGACTGGAAGCGTGGCTGGAACCGTAGCTAGGCTTTTGCTCCAGCCATGCATAGTCAAAACTGGTAAGTCGAGATTGATAACATCCTCTTCAAGTCTAAATTAATAACATCCGCCCACGTATCTAAGTGTGAGTAAAAACGTGTGAGCGCAGGCGACGAGTACTGCCGTAGCAATGAACAAATGAGCCGACCCAGCCCATCTTCGTTGTCGGAGGATGCACGCAATGACATCCCCCGGGGGGGTTAAACCTGCCTTGAAATGAAAAGGAAGGGGGGGGGGGGGGGCAGGGTCACTGAAGCAGCACCAAGTGAACTTTGATTCTAAGGGCATGGTCGCAATCTCTGATGCATGCTTAACGAAACCTAGACAAACATTTGCACATGGCTCGTATACCATTCTACATGCTGGGCTCTCAAATCGAAAAGAATGTGAAAAAGCACTTTTTTGCCATATTAAACATTCGTAGCACATCAATACATCACTGCTTCGTCATCATCTAGCAATGGTCTCTGAGACTGACTCTGGCAACGTGCTGTCGCGTTGCAGGAGTTAATCGCAATGTCCACGGTCTAGCAAACACATGGCAATGTGGAAGATGGCAAGCGCATGATGTGTCAACCTCCAAAGATCCGTCATTGTCAGCGTGGTATAGGACAGTTTTCACCAGCACCTAATCTGATTTTCTGAGTACAGACGATCAAATGTCTGCATAAAAAAATTGCAACGCTGAGCATCGTCAGGGGCTACTCCATACGCACACAGTGAAGCCACAAACCCATGCACGGCATTAAAATGAAAAGAGAACGAGACATATACCACGGAACACCAATCGAAAAATTAATTTCCACATGTGACAAACTCAAAGTGCAACGATAAAGAGCTAAGTTTTTTTTTTATTTCGTGGCAACACCCAGCGTCACTTTCCTGAAGTGTAGCTCAACGACTCCTGCCGCTGTCGTAGAGTAGTACTGCAAACGCAAGTCTTTTTTTTCTTGCTTGTTTTCTGTTTGAAAAGAGGGCGAAGGGCATATCTGCACATGTGACCCCGGCGGCACCACTGGCTCAAAGGGCTTGGGCCTGTCTCGCGCACACCCACATGCACTAACGAGCACTTCCTCTCGTCTCACGCAAGCGTAAAGTGCACAACACTAATGCTTCGGAAACTGCAGAAGATGCACGGTGCTCATCAAGGGTGTCTCCCACTGCCGCTTTGTTACACAGAGGTTGCAAATACACGTGTGGAATAGAAAATATTAGTACAGTACAACCTCATTACAACAGACCTCTATAATAAAGAGAATTTTGGTCTGTATGTAAAATCCAAGTACCCTCACAACAGACTTTTACATAAACACTCAATGCATCTGTTATAACCAGAGAGAATTACTCATCGTGTCTGTTGCTGAGATGCTTCTCAAGAAGCTTAAGCACGGTGACTCAAATGAGTCGCGCTAAATCCCTGGTGGACCTGCAGAGGACAGCTGTGGTCCCGTACATGTACAAGGTCACACACAGCCTGAAAAAAGTGGCTAGTCATTTCAACATGCCGTTAGTTTTCTTGGCCCCGAAGAAGCTCGCTCAGCACACATTGGAATCGTGAATTGTGCCAACTGCTTCTTTGCTATATGTGCCTTCAGCACAAAGCTTTCTATACCATTTGAAAAGCATCATTGTTTACCATGGGTGTGCTTCGTTTCAAACATTTGTTTACAATCAATGCCTTTTTCCTTGAAAGCCTGAGGGGCTTATTTTTCATTTTTGGACTGTTACGATTATATAAGCACCCAAATTTTGAAATAGTAGTGGGAAGGCAGCAGATATTTTCTGGTATGGAACTGCAAAAAGTATGAATCAACCGAATGATGAAGTCTGAATTAGGAGGCTTTTAAAACTTGAAAGAAAAGAGAGCCATTCAGAAAATTGAATTTTGTTTGAAATGACCGAAAGTATGAATTATCAGTGTGTGAATTATCATGAGTCTACTGTAATGATAGTAATAATAATAATAATAAAAGACATAACATAGTCGGCAAAGCCTCTGTTAATAGCCGTTCTATCTGAACCAGAAGGAATTCAAGCCGAGCCAAATTCATGGTTACGACAAACATGCACAAATTTACCGACGTTTGTAATGTTGTGGTTGGAAAGTCAGATGTGCTGATCAATATGTTGAAGCAACAGATATCGATTGATTGATTGATGTGTGGATTTCAATGTCCCAAAACCACCATATGATTATGAGAGATGACGTAGTGGAGGGCTCCGGAAATTTCAACCACATGTGCTTCTTTAACGTGCATCAAAATCTGAGAACATGAGCCTACAGCATTTTCGCCTCACCGAAAACACAACTGCTACAGCTAAGGTACTTGACTGCTGACCTGCGAGTCGGCAGTCAAGTACCTTAGCCATTAGACCACTGTGGCGGGGCGAGCAAAAAACATCAAAATAGTGAATTACTAACATGGAATAAAAGGAATGCTTTAGACAACGTGAAGGACAAGTTGCCGCCATCTCCACCATCTTTTTACGCTTGAGGCTGCCACAATTTTGACAACCAGTACATCAGTGAGACCACTTATTTCAAGAAAAGAGTTGAACAACAGAAATATGATGTCAGGAAACAACGTGGGACCTCATATGCCCTTGCTTAAGCACATGAATCTGCAGGCCACCAAACTGACTACTCAGGCACGTTTTCTGGCCAAAGAAAAGCTTGCATTTGCCTGCACCTGAAATGCCAGTACATCGAGACAACTGCACTTTATGCTAAACAGGAGTGACAGGATACTTCGAACAATGTAGCCCGAATGCTTACGTCACATACTTAGTCGTACTTAAGTACCCTGTGCATTTCTTATGGCTATTATAGTGAACAAGGCTCCCGTAGCAGGAGTCAAAACATCAGTAAACTTTATATTTCTTTGGCAGGTGTATGCTTTCGCGTCTACACTAACAAGCAACGATTATGCACTGGTTTCTTTTTTTTTTCATGCATCTTCTTGTTGTTTATTACTGTAGTTGCAGCCAAAGGAGTGGCTTCTTAAGGTGGCTGTCCCACTCCGGCGACACGAACACACCCTTTCTGTTACTTTTCCAACTGCCGCGATGGCTGTTCTTTCTGATTCATATAGTTAACTTATATATCTTTGAAAAGATTGATCTTCGAAACATATCTATTAAAAACAAGTCACCCTTCAGTACTTCGGTGTGGGGAGCCAGGCATAAGCGCTAGTTAAAAAATTTGGTCTGACTATGCCCCAGCAGTGACCATTTTCTGAGAAATCTGCTACAGTTATACCACTGTTCTTTTAAGGGGAGATGCTACTCGAAGACACTTTATTTTAAATATTCACTCTACAGCAATGAAGCTTGAGCTGTTTATGAAACTTTTCATGCTGATTTCAAATATATAATTAGTTTTATTGCAAGTTACACACTTTTAGCTCTGCAAAATGACAAAGTGACAACCTTAACGCTTTTGCCCACCCTCTTTTCATCTCTAAACTTCTGTAATTTTTACATAGTTCCTAATGCTTCAAATAAAGTGTAGAGTGCAAATAACTAATTAGGAAGCACATACAATATATGTAATACGCGTGAAAAATAATAGACGTAATAAGTCCATATTTCACCTACCCTAGCAAAGGTATAAATACAATTTTTTATTATACAATAAAATATTGAAATTTAAACTAGATAATTGCATTTGTCACACTTTGGAAAAAATTTGGGCAAAATTTCATGCAGATCCAAGTACTAAAAGTGCCTGAAAAAGGAGGGGCAGATTGAAAAAAGTGGCAAAATTAGTGTTAAAAAAAAAAAGGCGTTTTTAAAGTTAAAATTGAGTTTTTATTTATGAAAGATATTGTTACGAAAAGGAGACTGACTCAGAGGGGTAGTCACCGATGTATTTACAGCCGGTTAGGCAAGCAGCGCGAGCCACACAGATTAGCTCGCGCATGCAGTCTCTGCTTTTTCTTCTTCAACTCCATGCGCTGGCACATAGCGTGACCCCCGGCGGCGGAGGCACCGTCCCGGTGCTTTAAAGGTCGTTATCTGACGCATTCTTGTAGGGCTTGATCCGTGAGACGTGTACAATATCACTGGGCCGCGTAGTAGATGATGATGGACAGATGGGGCTGATCTCGTAGGTGACAGGTGTTACTTGACGCAATATACGGTAGGGTCCCGTGTAATGAGACAGAAGTTTTTTGGATAGGCCCAGCCGACGATGAGGGGACCAGAGTAAAACGAGGGTACCGGGAGCGAAATCTACGTCTCTATGTTCTGCATCGTACCGACGGCATTGGTTGGTTTGCGACGCCATCAGCCGAGCGTGAGCGAGCTGACGGGCATGATCGGCTCTCGCAATCGCGTCGCGGGCATACTCGCTGGTGGACGAGGTGTGAGCTGAGATGACTGTGTCCAGTGGTAAAGTTGGCTCTCTTCCGTACAATAAGTAGAACGGCAAAAAGCCCGCTGTGTCGTGATGGGATGAATTATACGCGAACG